TCTGGCCCGCCGTTTACTATGGCTCGATCTGGCCGAATTATACTCATTGGATTTAAACTTGAAGCATTTAGGATTGCATCCAACGAATAGAATCCGACCAAGACGGAGTTTGTTTTGAACTTCGAACGTATAAAAGTTGCAAATCATTTGCTTCATGCAACCCCATATGCAAAGCAATTTTAACAAAAAGGAGATTATTCATTTTCTGAAACAAGTAATTTTCTGAAAGTCATCAAAAAGTAGTATTTATAAATAAAGAAAAAGTTTAATGATTTTAGCTATATTTAAACACAAACATGAACCAGTTAATTCTTTGGTTGAAAAAAAAATTAATGTCTAAAAACAAGGATGGCCAATAAGACCAAACCATATATAAATAAACTTTACAAATAATAGCGGACCAAGAATATCAAACCAAACTACAAAGTAAAGTATCTAACAAAAATATTAAAATATACAATTATTTAAACAATATAAAAAAGTTGTAGTACCAATAATAAGAAGTAGTTTTCTTGATAATTTCTGATTCGAAGATGATGCTGTCGAAAAGTATCGTCTTTTATTGAAGGAAGAAACGTTGTTGCTAAAGTTCGATGTTGAGGCGGTTGGAAGGAGTCTGGCACTTTTCCAGTGATGAGATACGTTCCACCCCGTAAGTGTACTTCCCAACTATATGTGATAGGTTCAAGTTCACGATGGAGGCGCTCAAACAAATTCACGTTGGGAATGAATTCGGGGCACCTTTGTCTATAGGCAGCAACCAGAGATGATATTGCGTATATATTATTAAAAACATATATATATATATATATATATTAACATACATTAGCTTGTGTATATATTTTAATATATGTTTTTATGTTATACAGTATAAGTTATATAATATGAATATATTTAACTATACATATAACATATTATAATATATGTATATGTTATATATAAATCACATTGTGAATATGTTATACATAAATATATTATGTTAAATATTTTTTTCTGTCAAATAAAACAATAATAATGCGTTAATTTTCATAAATTTAAAACCTTAAATATAGTCTCACGAGTTAAGAAATACTTGAAAACGTAAAAGAAATATTGATCTATATAAATTGGCAAATGTTTTATTCTTCTTGACTAAACATCGATCGCCTATTGGAGTATTTAGACAAGTTTCACCGCTAATATAATATGGGATGTCTAGCTTTGTCTAAATGTCAAGAAAGTTATATCCAAATGATGATTATGATACATGCATGTCCTTTCTCATAGAGAAGTGATTTTCATCCAAATTCAGTTTTAGGCAAACTATTCAACTAACTCTTATCTTGTATAATGGTCTCTATGAGGCTTGAAATGCAATCAAACTCGTTTCGACGGCAGGAGGCATAAGTTGTTTTTCAACATCACAATTCAAAAAGACCGAGCTCAAAATATTTTGGTATTACCATGAAATATTTATCGCTGCATTTGAACTTTGTCTCAAATTTCGCTGTTAATATATCTTGAATTTCTTTGATTTCTGTTATTGTTAATTAAGGTTTGTTGTTATCATCAAAGATGATCGATAATTACCTCTTTTATTTGTACTAGAATTAGACCCGCGGTAGGCTTTTAGTTGTTTAACTTATTTTGTTTTATTTTATTTAATCTTAATCATTTTCTTATCCATTTGTTAAATGTATGTAAACAAAAAACAGTTTGGGCCTATATCCTATTATAATTTGTTTGTTTTATTCGTATAAGCCCAATCAATTTTTTTTTAATATTGTCTCTTGGGGGGAAAATATATTACGATAATCAGATAATAAAACAAAAGTTGGACTCATGGTATCGAGCCTATACGATGCTAAAGAACACGGGTACATTGTTCTAGCATTTGTTATTCTCTTTACTCTCGTCAATCTTTTCCTTGATAACTATCCCATCGATGATCTTCTCTCTTTGTGTCGTTGACCAAGTCTTTTTTTTTTCGGATTCCACACATACTTTGTAGAAACTTCTTCATATTTTAGGCTACCTCTTTGCGAAAAAGCTGCCAATTTGTCTTCTTTTCCAGGCATTTGATTGAATATGTGAATAATTAGCTAAAGAGTGAACAAAATTAAAGGAAAGTTACAAAAACAGAGCGTAGTATCATATACCTTTGAATGTTTGGTTGATGTTTTTCTGATCTGAGGTCGAAGAGGAACACTTGAGGTCTATTTATGGTTGTTTTTTGTCGTTTCGTTTCTGGTAGATTCATAATGAATATATGAATACTTTGAATAAGATCTAACTTTAATGTATTGGGATTGTAGTTTCGTATAACCTCTAAGTTTGACCACTCTCATTGAAAACTACATTATACTATTTGTAGATATGCTTTTATCTTTTAATTTGTAACTCTATTATCTTTCTAATTGCGGTTAGTTTGTTGACCCATTAACGTGCTTTTTTTTCATCTTTGGCCATGTTTAAAGATTCAGTTTGTGAAACCATGTTATTAAACTTAAAATTTATATTGTTCCGAACGCATGATCTGGTTATGTAAGATAGAAATCATTTAGTACATCGTTGAACTTTTCAAACATTGAAATAAAATAATTTTAACTGGGCTGTTCCTTCATGCTGATTTATGCCACGTTTTTTTTGTTAACTTTCTGCTCTGTTCCATGTGTAATGGATATCAAATAGATATCTAAAAACGCACCTCTTGTGCAAAAGGTTTCTCTCATGTTTTTATCAAGTGCAGAAGACGAGTAACCATCATTTTGTTTCTCATATCTATCTTAGAGCATTTCTGATGCTAGAATTATGCATTTCATTCAGAAACTCTTAGTTATTTGATATTTCTGTCATTTCTTAAAAATTATACACAACTTATAAAGGCACTAAGATTGAAGAAAGCACTTAGAAGACCACCAGGCATGTAGAAACAGAACAAAAATACCTTTCATTTTTTTCTTCTAATTATTGATTTTGTTGTTGGGAATCTCGGTACAGGAGCTTTTCCTGTGGTTTTCGGGTAGAGGAATCTGAGTCGACGTGTCCAGCTCTGGCCTTTTATTGGAAAAGTTGAATGTGAAGAGAAAGGAGGACCAGGAATAGGATCACCTAGAGCTTCAAGATCTCATTCGCAATTTTCACCTTAGCCTTAAACTCCATATATATGCGAAGCATAGTTATGTAGTACATTAACCTTAAATCACATGCCTTAAACAGCATGTGTTTCCCCTATGTCATTAAACTCCAAAATAAGCGAAACCACAAACTCATATCAAGGTTGGATTATACATCTCGCTTCCATCTTCATCTTCATTTGTTAGCTTCCTCGTCTCGTCTGCATCCTTTGTTCTTCCTTCGGGATTAGTAAGTTCCAGTTCCTCAATCCTCATAGCCAACCAAATAGAGAAGTAAATCAAGATTAGCTCAACATTCACGAAATCTTATTTAGAAGTGAAGTGGAACTTTTCATCTCTGAATGAAGCTAACTGATTGAAAACGATTGGAGATGCAAAAAGCACCAAAACTAAACATACAATCTAAGCACAGTTGCATATCGGGTTTATGAAAAGGGATCTCAAAAACCTTACCCGTTTACTGATTTGGACATAACAGATATGAAATTAAGATCGACCAAGTAAGAGAAGCAGATAAACCGCCGTCATTATTAGGATTTTCAAGAGCTATCTCCGAGCAACGGAAATCAGTCACACAGCACTACAACCTCCGCGAAATGCAAAAAATCGAGAAACAGAGAGAAGGTTCTCTTCAAATCCCAATGGAGGGTAGACTCTGAAGAATGAAAAGGAAAATTGTTTGAGAATCAAAGGGAGAATGAATCGGAGATTCCTGTGTCGTTCCGACGACGAAGAACTTATTTTTTTCGCGTAAGAAAGAGAGAACGAAATGGAAATTGTCGAAGAAGAATGAAAGATTATTTTTAAAATGAACCGAACCAGACCAAATACGTGGCTAAATAAACCAAGGAAAATGCTGACTGGTATTATTTAGAATGTTTTGATTGGGCTTGCTGAGATGTCATCATAGGAAAGCTTAAAAAATCCAATGTGTCAACATCCTGAGAGACACAAGGGTTTTTATTGTGTTGATTTTGGATATTTAATTTTATGAAATGAAGATTTGCGTCAAAAAATATTCCTAGTTCATTTAGCATATTATTTTCTAAAATCAAAGACATGCAAAATTAAATAATATACATTCAACCATTCAAATTTTCATAATCAAATTTTTTTAGTAATAACATCATGAAGCTAAACTTTATTTGGACAATCAAAAGTCAATTATTAGGACAATCAAAATCTATTATTATCAAAAATCAATCTACAATTTATTTGGATTATCAAAAATCAATTAACAACATAATGAAGCTAAAATAGTATACATTCAAGCATTTAAATTTTCATAATCAACTAGTTTTTTGAAAAATAATCAAATTTCATGATATATTTAACATAGCAGTTATAACTAGTCCAATAAATCAGATGCATAAGAAAAACATTTATAGTAAATTCAAACCAGAGAGAAACGTACAAATGATGATGATAAAGATGATGATATATCGGCAAAATTTAGATGATATATATATATATATATCATCTTCAAAACCAACTTCATCAACACTACAAAATTTATCCAACATTATCAAAATCAGCTCTATCATCATCAATATCAGTTTAATCATAATCTTCATTAAAATCATATGTTCGGTTTAAAACATTTGCACTTATTGGTGTTCAAAGAATCTAGTTCAGTTTCGGTTCAAATATTTTGATTTAAGTTTTGGTATAATATCGATGTGAATGTCAATCAACCGGTGTTATCCTAATTTAACCCGGTAATGTCTAAATTAATTGAATATCCCATAAGAGACAAAAGGATATTATTGTAATTTGAATGTAAAATTCAAATGCTTAAGAGATCGTCTTTTGGGGGGATAAAGATTTCTCTTTTCTTCAACCTCTGAGATTCAAATTCAAACGGCCGTTTTCAGATCGGAGAAGATGGAAAAGATCTGTGTCGCAGTCAGAGTGAGGCCGCCGACGCCGGAATCATCACCGGAAAACGGATCTTCTCTCTGGAAAGTCGAAGACAACCGGATCTCTCTTTACAAGTCACTCGACACACCAATCTCAACCTCTTCTTACGCTTTCGGTATCAAATTCGCGTCAATCATTCTGGGTTTCGATTTCTATTGATCTGGGTAGCTTCAAAATTCCCTCTTTGTAATCTTAATTGCGTTCGTCTCCTTGCAGATCATGTGTTCGACGAAAGTTCTACGAATGCAGAAGTCTACGAACTTCTGACAAAGGATATAATCCACGCCGCCGTCGAGGGTTTCAATGGTAATATAAATCCAATCTGAAAAATGAAATCTTGGACGATTTCGTGAGCTCAATTCTGTTTTCATGGTGATTGACTGTATGGAGCTACTGTGATTCTTTGTTCAGGTACTGCATTTGCTTATGGGCAAACTAGTAGTGGAAAGACGTTTACAATGACAGGTTCTGAAACCGATCCTGGGATTATTCGAAGATCTGTGAGAGATGTGTTTGAGAAAATACAAATGGTAGGTCTCAGGTTTAATTTAATCTATGATTTGTGAAGTTTATAAAGGGTCCAACTTTTTGATTTGTGTGTGTGTTTCATGTTCTTACGTTGGTAGATATCTGACCGAGAGTTTCTCATCCGGGTTTCGTACATGGAAATTTACAACGAAGAGATCAATGATCTTTTAGCTGTTGAGAACCAGAGGCTGCAGATTCATGAACATTTGGAGGTTGGTTTGATTGGATCATTCTTCTCCATGTAGTTTGTTACAGCGTGATTAACGCCATTTGCTTCTCTTTTGATGTACAGCGTGGAGTATTTGTTGCTGGTCTCAAGGAAGAAATTGTTAGTGACGCTGAACAGATTCTAAAGCTTATAGATTCTGGAGAAGGTTTTAAGCTAAAGCTAAACATCTTTTTTTTCTGTATTTTGATTGTTTCTAGTGTGTATTGACATGGTCTTTCTTCAATTTACAGGTAATAGGCACTTTGGTGAGACAAACATGAACGTTCACAGTAGCAGATCCCACACCATTTTCAGAATGGTACGATTAAGAAGCTATGAACAAAAAGTGTAATTGTGAAAGTACTTATTCTGATACAATCTCTATGGTGGGTTAGGTGATTGAGAGCAGAGGAAAAGAAAACAATTCTTCGGATGCTATTCGTGTGTCAGTCTTGGTGAGTGATGATTATTTACTATGGCTAACATCTTTCTTGTGAAAGTTACATTTGTATAAAGCTGATCATTTTCTTATTGGTGTTGTTTAAATGGAATCTAGAATTTGGTGGACTTGGCTGGATCTGAGCGAATTGCTAAAACTGGTGCTGGTGGAGTACGCTTGACGGAAGGGAAGTACATTAATAAGAGCTTAATGATTCTTGGTAATGTCATCAATAAACTAAGTGAGAGTGCAAAGCTAAGGTAATTTCTTACCCTTGATTTGATTACCTTTCAATGTAACATTAATACGGCTCGGCTCATTTTCTTGCATTGTTGATTATAGGGCACATATTCCATACAGAGATAGTAAGCTGACTCGGATTCTTCAGCCTGCGCTCGGTGGTAATGCCAAGACTTGCATTATATGCACTATTGCACCAGAAGAGGTAAAATAAGTGACTTATTTCATTTTCTTGGCTTTTATTATTCATCAGGAACACGAGATTAGACTAATCAAAGGTAAATGATGGTGTGTGCAGTATCATATTGAAGAATCAAAAGGAACTCTCCAATTTGCAAGCAGAGCCAAGCGCATCACCAACTGTGCTCAAGTGAATGAGGTATGCATGTGAATTTCAAAGCATTTCAACTTCTGTTGTTTTTCCTTCTACTATATCCGGAATAAATTCTGACAGTGCTTAAACGCTGCAGATCTTGACTGATGCTGCTTTATTGAAGCGCCAAAAGTTAGAGATAGAAGAGCTACGTATGAAGCTTGAGGTAGAATCAAAATTGTTATTTCAACTACATCTACGAATGGGGATGATAATACTAAACTAATTTCTGTAGGGATCTCATGCTGAAGTGTTGGAACAAGAGATCTTAAAGTTAAGCAATCAGATGCTTAAGGTAGGTTTTTTTTGCCCTTTTCTCCTAGTGTCCATTGAATAGAACTCTGAGTAGACACAGCATACATAACAGCAATCCTTTTGTTTGATTTTCAGTATGAGTTAGAATGTGAAAGGCTAAAAACACAACTGGAAGATGAGAGAAGGAAACAGAAGGAGCAGGAACAATGCATCAAGGAGCAACAGTTGAAAATTGATAACTTAAACAATCTTGTCACTAATTCAGACTTCAAGAGGAACCAGTCAGAGGTATGGACTGTTACATCCAAACATAACCTTAAAGGAAAAATAGGCATGTGGAGGATTCATGTTGTTGGTTATGTGAAAGTTTTGTTAACGTAACATCTTTATTGGCAGGACTTTATTAGTCTAAGAAAGAATCCAAATGGGCTATGCAATGCCAATGAGAGCAGCGATGCCCCTGTGACTCCTTGCTTCAAATCAGCTTCACATTCCTTTGTGGTTGCCCGGTCAAATTATGCACTGTCTGATTTTAGTCCGATGGTTGATTCCCTGGGGGACGTGGCCGATGAAGATACTTGGACGAAGCTAAACAAGGGTTTTGTTGCAGACCTTGATAAACTCCAATATACACCTGCCATCAAAAGACAAATCACTCCAGTAGCCATGCCAACCATGGTGAGTATATACATCTACTTCACTCCTATTATCTTCCAAAAGTGACAATTATTTGTGCATGAAAAAGCTCATAGAATCATTGTTCATAAAATCTAATTTAGGATTGCTCGCGTGAAAGTTACAAAGAGGTGGAAGATCTCAAAAGTCAGATTGAGCTGCTGACCAATGAGAAGGACAGTCTTCAGGTTAGTCTTGATCGTTTTTTTTGGTTGTTCAAGTGAAGATGCTCTTTCAATCTTGAATCTTCTGAGATAGCTCTGAGCATAAAGGAGCTTGTTATCAAGAGTTCTTGAATTGAAAAGAATGATATCGTTATTTGGGCTTTCCTTTGAAATCTTCTTGATTTACTTTTTGTTCTTGTTTCTTGATTAGTTATGAATCAATTATGTACTCTCAGGTAAAATTCAACGAGCAAGTGGATACGAACAACAAACTGATGGAAGAGATGTCTAAGCTCAAACAAGAAACGCTTCCGATGAAAGAAATTCCAAAACGTTTATCTGACTCAGTTGCTAACTGCAAGAATGTCTTCAGTGATGTTATAGTCACAATGAAGGTAAACAGCTTAGTTTTTTTTTCTTGTGTGATTTCAGTTTCAAGATTATCACTAAAAGTACATTCGAGTTCAATTGTTTTCTCTTGCAAATTTGTCAGAGCTTAATGGCTGGGAAAGACTCTCCAACGGCAACACTGCTCTTTGGTACAACTGAAATCACAAGGAGCCTTCTCTCAACACTAGAAACACAATTCTCGATGATAATGGATGGTCAGGAAGAATCAGATCAATGGGAAACACTTCGCGTGAGTCTCAAGAACACAGCCACATCGTTGCTGTCAGACGCACAAGCCAGAGACGAATTTCATAACAGCCACAACAAGGTAGCTTCCTTGTCACAATCGTCAAGATACGGATCGATTTTGTTTATCTTTTCAATAGTTTTGGTAGGATACTTTGTCTCTCTACTTAGGACTTTACTCCAGTGAACCTCCTCTGCATAGCTTCCTTTTGTCTCTTTTAACATTTTGAGAAAGTTAAAAGTTAAACCAGTCATGAAGTTTAAGTGCTAAACACATTTTCTTCACTTGAATCTCTATATGACCATGTTTGGTTAATTAGATCTTGTGGGTCAGACTAATATCTCTAAGACCGGCTTTGAATGTGGTTTTAAAGGGCTTAGAAACGGCTGTTATGGAGGAGAAACTCAAGTCTGAGCTAAGCACCATCAAGGAAAGATATAACGAGCTGGAGAAAGAGTTGTGTTTGGCAAAAGCTTCAAGAGAGAGCCATGAGAGGCTTGAAAAGGAAGTAGAGTTGTTGAAGGAAGAAAGAGATTCTTTAGACGCAGAAATCTCGAAAGCAACTCGGAGACTGAGAGCCACTGCGAGTGAGAAAGAGAATGTTTTGAAAGATCTTAACGTGGAAGTGAAGAGAAGGAAAGAGATGGAGGAAGAGATTAAGCAGATCAGCTTTGCTTTTGCTAGTAGGCAGAGGTCTTTAGTGTCTTTTCACAATGAAATCAAATCCAAAATGCAGAAACTAACCACTCAAAATCCAAAATCTCAGTAGCAGAAACAGCTCTATGTAACAATTAGATTATTAATCTATGATGTATTTCATTGAGAACCATAACTTATGTTTATGTAGAACAACTCGTTACTGTATAACCTAAAGTTATATAAAGGGACACACAATCCCGGTTAAACCAAACCGCTCCAAACCGAACTAAACCAAAAATAATTGATCCTAAAATCGGACTAGAACCGATAATTCAATCCTCTCTTTACTTTCACTCGCGGAGAGGCATGAACACCCTTTCCCTCCCATTACTCATACCGGCGGCGATTCACCTCAGATCCTCACGCCCCGCCGTGCCGTCCTTCCCACGCGCCATCACACCGTCCGCTGCTTTACGCGCCACCTCACGGTCAGTCGAAAACCAAACTCTAGAGGTCCTCGAATGGCGCGCACTCTGCAATCAGCTCACTCCCTTCGCCTCCACATCGATGGGACTCTTGGCCACGAAAAACGCCGAGATTCCGGTGGGGAATTCGCCGGAAGAGAGCAGGAGCCTCCTCGAAGAGACGGCGGCTGCGTTAGCAGCCATGGAGTTGATGGATTCGCGGCGATTGGGTCTCTCCGAGATCCTCGATTTGTCTGATATCGTCGAGCGTGCTATAGCTGGTCAATTGCTTACCGTTAGAGAGCTCTGCGCCGTTCGCAGCACGTTAATGGCGGCTTCATCAGTGTATCGGAAACTACAAAACGCAGCTCGTAGTGATAACCGGTATTTGCAATCTTATCCACTGATTTGATTATCTGATTATTTGTGAGAAGCTCTCATGGCTCTAGCTTTTACTCATCGTGTAGGGTTACTCCACTTGTAGAGATACTTGAGGATTGCGATTTCAAGGCTCAATTGGAGAAGAAGATTGGTTTCTGCATCGACTGCAACATGTCAACGATCCTCGACAGAGCGAGCGAAGATCTGGAGATCATAAGATCCGAGCGGAGGAGAAACATGGAGGATCTGGACTCTCTGTTAAAGCAAGTATCAACCAAGATTTTCCACGCCGGAGGAATCGACAAGCCTCTGGTAACGAAGCGGAGGTCAAGAATGTGCGTAGCGATTAGAGCCACGCACAAGAGTCTGCTCCCAGGCGGCGTCGTTTTAAGCGTGAGTAGCTCGAGAGCAACGTGCTTCATGGAGCCGAAAGAGGCGGTGGAGCTTAACAACATGGAAGTGAGGCATGCGAGCTCAGAGAGAGAAGAGGAAACGGCGATTCTGAGCATTTTGACGTCTGAAGTGACCGCAGCGAAGAGAGGGATATTGCATTTGTTGGATCGGATTGTTGAGCTTGACATTGCTTTTGCAAGAGCTTCACATGCCAAATGGATGAATGGAGTCTACCCAAAACTAACTTCACAACGCACAATGGATGAATCTTTATCAGTAGAGATTGATTCTGTGCAGCACCCGCTACTTCTTGGATCAGTGTTAGGCAGCTCAGAGAGAGGAAGCAACACTTTCCCTGTGCCAATAGACATTAAAGTTGATAGCAGAGCCAAAGTAGTCGTCATTTCAGGTCCAAACACAGGAGGAAAGACTGCTTTGTTGAAGACTTTGGGGCTAATCTCTCTCATGTCGAAGTCAGGGATGTATTTGCCTGCTAAGAACTCCCCAAGATTGCCTTGGTTTGATCTTGTTCTTGCTGACATTGGAGATCCTCAGGTATTCTTGCAAAAGCTTCTCTTTTTTTCAAGATCCTTACTTTGACAAAGCTTTTGTTTTTTGCAGTCGTTGGAGCAAAGTCTATCAACATTCAGCGGCCACATCTCACGGATATGTGAGATACTTGACATTGCTTCAGAAAACTCGCTTGTGCTTCTAGACGAGATCTGTAGCGGGACTGATCCTTCAGAAGGAGTTGCTCTCGCTACTAGTATCCTACGGTATGTTAAAACTCGTGTCAACGTGGCTGTTGTGTCAACGCATTACGGTGACTTGAGCCGCTTGAAGGATAACGAGGCTCAGTTCCAAAACGCTGCGATGGAGTTCTCTATGGAGACTCTGCAGCCTACGTTTCGAGTTCTCTGGGGAAGCACCGGTGAGTCAAACGCGTTGCGAGTCGCTAAGTCGATTGGTTTCGATGCAAGAATCATAGCGAATGCACATGAATGGACGGAGAGACTGAAACCAGAGCAGGAAGTTGAGCGGAAAGGCTCTCTCTTTCAGTCACTTGTGGAAGAAAGAAATAAGCTTAAACTTCAGGCGGATAAGGCTAAGGCTTTTCATCGAGACTTGATGAGCCTTTACCACGAGGTATCGCTTCTTTTCTCTTTTGGGTTTTGTTGTTGAGGTCAATCAATTCTTGTAATGTCTATTTATGTTCTTCAGCTTGAGGTTGAGTCACATGAACTTGAGAAGCGTGAGAAGGCTCTTGTGAAGAGAGAAGCACAAAAGGTGCAAGAAGATGTGAACTCTGCAAAGTCAAGAATCGAGAAACTGGTGGCTGAATTCGAGAGCCAGCTAGTGACCGCTCAGGCTGATCAATACAACTCCTTGATCCTGAGAACCGAAGAGGAAGTCGCTGAGATTATCGAAGCTTGCTGTCCTCACGATCTTGCATCGACGGAAGAAGGTTATAGTGGTGACTACTCGCCACAAGCAGGTGAAAAGGTTCTAGTGACTGGACTCGGAGGTAAGTTAGGTACTGTTGTTGAAGAGCCTGGAGATGATGACGATACGGTTCTTGTTCAGCATGGTAAGTTAAGAGTACGCATCAAGAGAAACGACATCAAGCCTCTTCCTCGAACAAGTGAAACAACGCCTAATCTACGTTCCAAGAGAAAGGTGAGCATGAGAGAGCTAGGCAATGCGATGGAGATGGTAGAGAGCGAGCCGGTGAGGATTCAAACGTCGAAGAACACGGTGGATCTAAGAGGGATGCGTGTGGAGGAAGCGATGTATCAGCTAGACATGGCCATCTCGGGGAGAGACTCTGGTTCGATCCTGTTTATCGTTCATGGAATGGGGATGGGGGTTATCAAGGAGCTTGTGCTTGAGAGGCTAAACAAGCACGCTCGTGTGTTGAGGTATGAGCAGGCAAATCCTATGAACCATGGTTGTACAGTTGCTTACATTAAATGACATCTCTCAAAAACACATTTGTTTCTTTGTAAATCTTTTTGGAAAGTGTGGTAATATATGGTGCTACAAAGTACAAACTACAAACTATGATTCGAATATTGAATTTACATTCAAGTGTACAATAATTTATCTACTCACCGGAAATTTCAAACTAGAACAGAATTGAACAGTGTTACTGAACTTTTTGCGGTTTTCTTGAAAGAAACAAAAAAAAAAGTTGCAAAAAACGTGATCGGCAGGATTCGAACCTGCGCGGGCAAAGCCCACATGATTTCTAGTCATGCCCGATAACCACTCCGGCACGATCACTTTTTGATAATGATATATAATTTAATATATCTATATATTAATAATGTGTGTAAATCAGATTGGGCTTAATTAAGAGTAAGCCCAAATTAGGCAAAATTACACAAGGAGAGAGAGAGGAACAGACACTAACCTCTAAGAGGTAATGAAAACGAGAAAGTAGAGTGTCAACGGTCAGAGCTTTGACCAAATCTCTCACTCTCACCACCCAAATCTCTCTCTCTCTCTCTCCGTCCGAATCTCACCGGCGATCGTCGCTCTGCGTCGCCGACGAATCGGATTTCGTCTCCTAACACTCACCGGGTAAGCTCTCTTCAAAAATTCCGATCGTTTCCAGCTCAATTCAATCTCAACATCGATCATCAAGTTTCATTTTTTGTTCCAATTATTGGTAATTCGAATGATCCGAAACAGTAATTTCATTAATTCACCATTAACAGATAAATTTTGAGCTTAGAGAATCCCAAAACCAATGAAAGATCAGATTTTTATTAAATTCTTGTCAAGTCTGAGCTCTAAAAATGTGTTCTTGATAGTCATTTTCAGTTTCTATTAATGTGATCATATAACTTGCTAAAATCGGTTATTAAAGTTTCGATTTTTCTTTCCTTTTTTGTGTTATTAAGGAGGAACAACAATGGCGACTCCGGTTGATCCACCAAACGGAATCAGGAATCAAGGCAAACACTACTTCTCAATGTGGCAAACACTCTTCGAGATCGACACCAAATACGTGCCAATCAAACCGATAGGCCGTGGCGCTTACGGTATAGTCTGCTCTTCGGTTAACAGAGAGAGCAACGAGAGAGTGGCGATCAAGAAGATCCACAACGTGTTCGACAACAGGATCGACGCGTTGAGAACACTCCGAGAGCTCAAGCTCCTCCGTCATCTCCGACATGAGAATGTGATTGCACTCAAAGATGTTATGATGGCTACTCAAAAGAGAAGCTTCAAAGATGTGTATCTTGTTTATGAGCTCATGGACACTGATCTTCACCAGATTATCAAATCCTCTCAAGTGTTAAGCAATGACCATTGCCAATACTTCTTGTTCCAGGTAACGCGATTTCCGGTTTAATTTCAAGAATGTCCGGTATAATATCAAGAACGTCCGGTTCTAGCTAGATCTTGAGGCCTAAGTTACTTATTGTTATGTTTCTTTTGTGTAGTTGTTTAGAGGGCTGAAGTACAGTGAAACCTCTATAAAGTAATAATGTTAGGAGTTAGGACCATAATATGTTATTACTTTAGCGAGATTATTATTTTACCGAGAGATAATTAGACCATAAACTTAATTTGAGGTATTACTTTATCGAATATTACTTTATAGAGGTTTTATTGTATATTGTTATGTTTCTTTTGTATCAAGAATGTCCGGTTTAATATCAAGAACGTCCGGTTCTAGCTAGATCTTGAGGCCTAAGTTACTTATTGTTTATATTCTTGTTTTGTGTAGCTGCTTAGAGGGCTGAAGTATATTCATTCCGCCAACATTCTTCATCGGGATCTCAAACCCGGTAACCTCCTTGTGAACGCGAACTGCGACTTGAAGATATGCGATTTCGGGCTAGCGCGAACGAGCAACACGAAGGGCCAATTCATGACTGAATATGTTGTGACTAGATGGTACAGGGCACCAGAGCTTCTCCTTTGTTGTGACAACTATGGAACATCCATTGATGTATGGTCAGTTGGTTGCATATTCGCTGAGCTTCTTGGAAGAAAACCGATATTCCCGGGAACGGAGTGTTTAAACCAGATTAAACTCATTGTTAATATTTTGGGGAGCCAGAGAGAGGAAGATCTTGAGTTTATCGATAACCCGAAAGCGAGAAGATACATCGAATCGCTACCTTACTCACCGGGGATATCGTTCTCTCGTCTTTACCCCGGTGCAAACGTTCTTGCCATCGATCTTCTTCAGAAGATGTTAGTTCTTGATCCTTCGAAAAGGATTAGTGTTACGGAAGCGCTTCAGCATCCTTACATGGCGGCTTTGTATGACCCGAATGCGAATCCTCCAGCTCAAGTTCCTATTGATCTTGATGTAGATGAAGATGAGGATTTGGGGGCAGAGATGATAAGAGATTTGATGTGGAAGGAAATGGTTCATTATCATCCAGAAACTGCTACCGTGACCAACGGTGAGCTCTGAGCTGAAGTCTTTTGCAGGTAATTTTCAGACTACTTCTCTATTTCATTTCATGTTTGGTTCTTACTATGTTGTTTATAATAGTGTCCAAGAAGAACTTATGAATTCTCTTCCACTACTTTTTAATTAATGATAGAAATTAATGGTTAGTTACTTTCTTTTTATATTTAATCCATTAAGTCGTTTAATCAACCGTATATGTATATATTTACATGAGTATTTTTTATTTTGTATTGGTATTCGACTTCCATTACTTTATTTTTAGTGAAAATAGTTTGATGACCAGTTTGTGAATAAGAATCTTTTACTTTTGTGAATTTAACAAAAAATGAAGGAGTGCACCAAAAAGGTTAAACAAATTAATGAGATCATTAAACTGAAAAAATTATAGAGCCAAAAAGATAAAGATTCTAGAAGACCAGGTCAAGTCTTGAAATCGCAAGTCATGGAATCCTTATCACCAAGTCTAGTTTGTTTTATTTTATGCATTTCATGTCATTGGGTCGTCTCTATACTATTCAAACCTTATGTCGTCAATTCGTTTTACCATTTATAATAATTACGGTTAGAGTGTAGTTTGAATATATAATAATATATAAACCATGTAATGATGAAGCAGTTTACTTGTAAATGGATAATATCCCCTCGTTTATTCTGGCCAGACGTATCATTTTGACACTAGTTTAGGTGCTATTAAAAGTATTAAAACACGTAACTAGGTCTTCATCCAAGAAACAACACTTATAATTGTCACATGTGCATTAATGATCGTGAAAACTGATAAAGACACAGAAGAAATCATGTGAACAATAATAGGTATCAAGTCTTCGAGCTAACTAAATTAACTGACCAAACTCGGTTTTAAAGTTTATTATCAAATCTTCTGGCAAAGTACTTTTACAAAACAAAATCTAATTTGCAAAAAATCATATTCTTGATTATATTAACATGCTTTACCAGAATCCCCCACTGTTAAACTCTATTGAGAAAAGGTTCTTAAACTTAATTCCCTTCATATACATATATGTGCATCAAATTATAAAGGATTTGAAAATGTTCACTAAATTTTTCTCTTCTCGAAGCCAATATAAGAAATTTAACGAGAGATAATTGAAAGAATATATCTCCTTCGTGGAAATTTATGAGAGACTTCTTTTAACTTCTGCCGCAAGAAAGTCAACCAATAAGACCAACTGCCCACCGTTATACACATACGCAGTGATGTATCATGTATGTTCTTTTGTTCGTGGAAACTTCTTATATATATCCACAGAAACAAAACAAAAATAAGAGATTTGACCAAGTTAATTATAACGCTTTCATTTCATCAGATCCGGTCAAAATCGTTAAATCCAATTTTTTAATATCTTGCAACAATATTCTTAATTTGTATCGGTTTCATAAAATATAATTATATTTATGTCGCGTGAGGCCATACAAATCCCGTATATTAATACTTATGGTCGTCTCTCTTTTCTGTAAAACAAATCCTCCATTACCAAAAACGAATCCTAAAAAAAAAAAACTCGAACCACTCGTAATCTCACAAGAACACCACAAAACTAAAGAAACCTAAAGATCATCGATTGAAACCAAAATGGTGAGTCCATGTAAATCTCTATGTCCAAAAAAATCAAGAAAAGAAAGCAAGAACCCTTATTCAAATCGTGGACTTGACAAATTCTCCGAGCTTCTCTCAACACTCGATGAGAAGAGACAAAGCATCTACTCGAAGAAGCTCGATTCCGGTGGCCCGCCTCTCGTCCGATTCGTGTTCACAAGCTCCGGCGAATGTATCCCCGTCGTGATCAAATCATCTTACCTTCACAAAAAGAAGAAGACCAAAGATGTTGCTAAAGTCAAGAAAGTGGTCAAAGAAACGAAAACAGAGGAAACGAAGAAAGCAGAGCCCGAAACAGAGCAGAAACAGAGCTGTGCTTTGAACGAGAATCTCAAGAAGATCACGAGACCGAATCATTTCTTGCCCGTGACTGTGATATTGGTTCTTGTTTTCTTGGCCTTCTTTGGGAGATCTGTTGCGATTATGTGCACTTGTATCGCTTGGTACTTGGTTCCAACGATTAGCGATCAGAGCGGAAACGGAGGAACTTCGTCATATTACACGATGAAGAAGAGAGATTTCGCTAGGAAATTGAGTATTGAAGACAGAGCATCGTTTAATCCAAGAACTGTTCGTGATCATTCTCCTCTCAAGTAGAATTTTTCTTTTTCTGGCTGCTCGTGAAAAAACCGCGTGATCGAGCTAAAGCTTTTTTTTTTGTTTTTAATTAATTTTGTGTGAAAGTTTCTTTTGTTTATTGCTTGTTACTTCTCTGTTTCGTTCATAGTTGTTAATTTTGAGACAGCTGAATTAGCAGAAAATTGTGTATTTTTTTTATGTAGGTTCTTAATGGTTATAGGATGTAAATACCCATGTAAATATGCAAATACGAAAATGTTCTTGGTTTACAAATTATCTACTGGCAAACATAACTTGAACATCTCTCTTTTGGTCGAAATAATATGAACAACTTTATAAAAATGATGATATTTAAAAAAAAGTCCCAGTTGCTTACTTCTGATTTAGATTTTCTTGAATCAGGTTTAGAATTTTAAATTTCTTTCTTAAATTTTTGCCATTTTTTACAAGTTTTGTTTTGAGCTTCTTAGTAGTTGTTCAGAATAATGTGAAATACATTGATGTAAAATGACCAAATGTTTTGTGTAAAGCTGCTTTACAAGCAAACATAGTAAACCTGATAAAGAATACAACTCAACATATCATAATTGCAATATGTAGTCAAATGGTTTAACACTAACAAGAATTCTCTAAAATAACACAAAACCAAAAATGTGTAGCCAAGAATATCGTAGGCTCCTTAAATGTTCCACTAATACCACTTTTTTATATTCAATTATACGACAAAGTCCTAAATTTAATCAACAAGAAAACTAATTAAAAGAGAAATCTAATTCCTAAATCAGAAATGAAATTCTCTGTCTTGTGGCTTCTATTCGTGTTTTTCTTTCCCGTTCTAGAAACTTTTTTTCCAGAAAATAAATGAAATTTCCATATGAAAGTCATCTAGGCTATGAATTTTCTAGCTAACATGTCAGACGTTAGCTAGCGCTGTAATTGTTTATTCATATCATCTTTATGATTCTTTTTTGTATAAATTGTAATCAAGCAAGATGTGATTATGATTAGGTTTGATTTATTTAGTTTTATTTGTGTTATTTTTAAGATATTCTTTTTGTACTGGTGCTGCAGTTGTTATCTAGATCGAAATCCGATAACATGTGTGTGAGTTATCAACGACAAAAAGAAGAAAACACTTTCAAACTTTCATACGACGTGTCTCAGACACATTGTAGACATCAAACTGACTTCACTGGAAGTTTCATATAGGTTACGGTCCTCTCAAGGAGTTTTAGGTTAAAAAATGTCCTTTATGGAACCATCTAACTCATTATTTTCGTTGAATTCAAACGACTCTTTACCTTTTTTGTTTCTCACTCTTTTGTGGTTTTTATCGAATTATGATTACGGTTTACGGATATATATATGGTTGTGCTTCTAGTATTTTTTTTTTTGCATTATTTTATCGTTAATGATAGTTTTACAATCCAAGAAAAAACTAGACCATCATATCATCTACTTATTGCGCTTGAAAACTTTAAAGTTACAGTAAAGCCCTCAAGTTCTTGATTATTAATAAAAGAAAACAGAAAACATTAGTAATAAAATGTCTTATATTCTACTTATCATTAGGGAGATCCTCGTAATCCAATACTTCCCAAGAGCAAACAGCAGCCTTCTCCTTGTTCAGCTCAGCTCTGAGATTCAACACTGCCTGCTCCAAAGTATCTGATTTGCCCTTCTCCTTGTTCAGCACATCTCCAAGATCCGACACCGTCTGTTCCAGTGACAAAACTTTAGCAGCACAAGTATCTGATTCGTCCTTCTCCTTGTTCAGCTCATCCTTAAGATCCGACACCTCATGTTTAAGATCCGACACCGTCTGTTCCAACGATAAAACTTTAGCACCAGATGTACCTGATTTTCCCTTCTCCTTGTTCAGCTCATCTTTAAGATCCGACACCTCTTGTTTAAGATCCGACGCCTCATCTTCAAGATTCGACGCCTCATCTTCAAGATCCGACACCGTCTGTTCCAAGGACAGAACCTCAGCAGCAGATGTATCTGATTTTCCCTTCTCCTTGTTCAGCTCATCTTTAAGTTTCAACACCGTCTGTTCCAAGAAAAAAACTTTAGCAGCACAAGTATCTGATTTGCCCTTCTCCTTGTTCAGCTCATCTTTAAGTTTCAACACCGTCTGTTCCAAGAACAAAACTTTAGCATCACAAGTATCTGATTTGCCCTTCTCCTTGTTCAGCTTATCTTTAAGATCACACACCGTCTCCTCCAACAATATAACTTTAGCAACATAACCATAAGATTCGTGCCTCTCTTTTTTCAGCTCCTCTTTAAGATCTGACACTGTCTGTTCCAACGACAGAAATTCAGCAGCAGATTCGCGCTTCTCCTTGTTCAGCTCATATTTAAGATCCCACACGGTCTTCTCCAACAAGAGAACTTTAGCAGCACAAGTATCAGTTATTCCCTTCTCTTTGTTCAGTTCAAGTGTGAGATTCTTGATGTGCTCCTCGAGTTCTTGGACTTGAACGTTTGATTTCTTCTTCTCCAAGGAAACCTCATCAAGCTTTGTCTTCAACCAGTCTAGCTTGAATCCTGCTTCTGTTAGATCGCACAACTTGTTGCTAGCGTTGCTTAGCTCAGTCTCGGAGATGTCATGTGGAGGCTTGTTCAGCGTGTCGATAAGACCAAGGAGGATATTCATGTACGTTGTCTTCAGGAATTGGTCCTTTAACCTCAAGTTTAAAGCAATGTCCGGGTGTTCAGTGAAAAGCCTAGTCACTGAAATAACCTGTAAACGAGAGACAAATGCATATTAAGTTGACCAGAAAAGACTGGAAAACAACAAGAAGAAGAAGCATCCTTATAATCAAATCATACCTGAGGATAAAGAACTTGGAAACCTTTGACATCTAACGTCTCCTTCCCAGTGACAACTCCTTCATCAACAACTTCAACTACTTTTACTTCCACTTTAACTCTCAGTTTGTTCTTCTCCAAAACCCCATTTGCTTGAAGCTGTTTAAGAGGCAAGAACTTTGGATAACCCCATGCTGAGAATTGAGCGCAAAATAACTTGCAGACTTCTGTAAGACAAAAAACAAAAAAAAAAAGAAATTTTTATTGAAATCTTCTTCAACATCATCAATAAGATTATTTATATACTGTTGAACATAAGATAATTACCCTTTGTTTTGAAGAGCTCTTGGCCTGATTTATTCAGCAGAAAGAAGGAATAACTAGCTTGCCTCTTCCATCCAAGTCTCAATGATTTTGAATTCGCAACATAGAGGTACAGAGCCAAGTGATCATCAACAATAGCTCCTTTGGGATAAACCTTAGCATACCTGCCAAAAAAGAAGGAAACAGATTAACTAAACGCTTTCGTTGTTAATCAAATAACACATATACAATGCTATTTTGTTTGAATTAAAAAAATCAAAACACAAAACATACCATTCGCAGCCGCCGCTAAAGAAATTAGGTGATAATATCGGAGCTTCCTTCTCGGAAAAGTTATCTATCTCAAAGGTAAAACTGGTCTGCTTTTGACTCTCCATATTCTCTATTCGAAGGCCTTTGTTACTTCGAGCAAAGGATGATATTCTCTAAAACTTATCTTTTGGTACTTTCCCGTATCTGTATGCGTGGCCGTGTATATATATAAAGCTTTTTCAAAACCCTAATTCGAAAAGAATAAGGAAGCTTAATGTAATTAGGATTAGAACGAGACAAATCAACTTTTCTTTTGAAAGTTATTTCAAATTATCGTATAATAATTAAAAGAAAATAGTAAGCCTTATTTTTTTTTCAAAAGGGGAAAATAAGACATTATTGAATTACTTTTTTTTTGAACAACATTATTGAATTACTATAAGGCATCTCCAATGTATTTCCTCATATTTTGCTCCAAAATGGTTTCGAAATGAGGTTGGGTTTTGCTCCAATGTATTACTTCAGTTTTTGCTTCAAAAAGAATATTCTTTTTTGAAAAACTTTTTATTAATTACTAAATTTACATTGTATATTTATATCTATTACAAATTGCCTCATAATTTTCTTTTCTTTATATCTTTCACAATTCATTATAATTATTTAAATTAATTATGAAAATATTAATAATACATTATTATAAGACTAAAAATAACAACACAAACTTGATTTTATTTTTAATTAGAACCATTTGAATAAATTTCTTTAAATTAAAAAATCAGTAATAAGTTATTTTAATAAATTTCTTTTTGATTTATTTCTAATAAAAGTATTTTTCTTTTTTTCAATAAATTTATTATTAGCTTAAATAACTAAATTTCCTATTAAATATCTGTTATTTGTATTTCAAAGTAAAAATAAACATCAAAATAATTAATTATATCTTAAACTGAACTATGTTAAAACTTCAATGACTGTTATATAAAATAAAAACTTTAACTCCAAAATGGAGATGAAAATGGGATCAACCATATTTTGGGAAAAAAATATGACATTTTGCCATTTTGAGATTGAAAATGGGATTAGGTTGGAGAAAATTGGCTGCAAAATGGCAATAAAGGTAAAATATGGGGTTGAGTTGGAGATGCTCTAAAGAAATATCCAAAAAAAAAAAATATCAAGCAAAAGGATATATTATTACACAGATCAGAATGATCAAACGCAATATATTTCCAAATTTTAAAATTCAAGTCAAATCCATTTCGATTAATACGGTACAATAACAAGAACCAGATCCCAAATTTAGAAAAAAACTCGTCTAAAAATTCAAATCCACCCAGCGTAAAAACCAAGTCGTCTTGGCCCAGTAGTAATGGACTCATAGCTGTGAATATCGCCACCAGGGTTCGAGTCTCCTTGGCAACCGAGCTGCACCCTTAACGATGGGATAACGTGTAATCGGTTGCAAGATCATGTTGGATTAGTCCTTGGCGTTGTAAGCCTTTGGAAACCCATCTTTTAAAAAAAAAAGATCCACGAGCGTAAACAACTTCCGCCAGAGTTCTTTATAAAAATACGGTATGCATACATGTTCTGAAATGGATGATTGAAGCTATTATAAAATATAAAAACTATACCTAAAAATATTTACTCCTATATGGTTTCGAACCTAAAAGAAGTTTAAAAAAAAAAACGGACAAAAGCATGTTCTAAGGGTCTAAATGGTAACTGCGGAATCTGGCGGAATTAAATTGTAACTTTTTGCGGAATCTGGCTGAATAGTTAGTATTGTGAATGGTAACTGCTGAATGTTGCTGATGCGGAATGTTGCTGAATGCGGAATAAATCTAACAAATTATTTGTGTAACAGAATAACAAAATATTCATCCAATTAAATTAATAAAATAAATATAAAAATTTACTTGTAAAACAATTAAATATTAGTAAACTCAAATAATTTTTAAAATATAGGATTTAAGAATCATAATTTATAATAATTTATTTATTAAACACCAAAGTTAAAAAAACAAATTTCAATTTTTTTTATCAATTCATAAATGAGAACCGTCTCATAATTGCTCTGCTGCTTAATTCTCTCTCATATTGTATTCATATAAATTTTAAGTGGTATAATAATCTAAAAATCTATATTAAATCTTCTTATAATTGAGTTTATTTTTTTAAGTGGTATAGACACCATTCGCTGGTCTCTTGTTTTTGCACAAAATATATGTGTTATAATTATTTAAAAATATATTCTAACTGGAACTCAATTTTAGGAATACTCTGAATAAAATGAATTAAGAAAAAATGGATTCTAATGAATGGGATGATGACAGTTACATAAATAAATGAATGGAATGAACAAATGCAGAGAAATATAAATGTGACCATAAATGGTAACAATTTAAAGGAATTGAGCGGAATGAAAAATAAATATATTTTTTTCCATTCATTTGTTCCATTCCGTTCATTCATAACCTTTTTTTATCATGAATGATTTTTAACTATGGGTGCAACTGGAATGCCTTTTTGTGGGATAAATTTATTCTGAATACATTATTCCATGAGATCCCATAAAAAATTTACCAGTTATTATGAATGAAAAGTAAAAACTATCCCACGAATTCCATTTTTGGATGGGAAAAAAAGACACAAATTCTTCTTTAAATTTATCCCTTTTGTTCCATTTCCAAAATGTTGATGAATGAATGGGATGAATGGGATTCACTATTTCAATTTTTTATTCCATTTCCTTATCATCCCATTTTTTTCATTCCACTTATAATTATTCATTTTATTTAGCATATCCCTTTAAAGAGTAACCAGTTACAGCCATATCTCATTGTTCCTGTTTATCCCACTGGAATTACAGGGATAAATTTTTTTTTATTATTCCACTTAAATGGTAGATTTTTTTTGGAATTCACGTGAATGAGACATTCCACAAAATTTTATCCCACAAAAGAGACATCCAGTTGCATTATACTAAAACAAGTATTAGGTACATCACCTCAATTCGGATATGCTATTCCAAACATTATTATTATTTTTTTGATTCATATTTGTAATTTGTTTTTAGATCCATAGTTTTATTATTAAGATTCCGTTTCAGACAATTTTAAAACCTGAATATTCAGAACTGATCGAATCGGAATACATTTTTTGTTGAAAATGTTTAAATCTAGATTCTTAGAAATATACAATTAAATCATTTACTTTATTATAATAAAAATTAGTAATTGTATTAAAGTTTACACACAATTTTTATCATTACTTTGATTCATCTATGTTATTTTTTTAGATCCATAATTTATTATGAAGATTCCATTTCAGACAAATTAAAAACCTGAATATTCAGAAATGATCATATCAAAATACAATTTTTGTTGAAAATTTTCAAATTTAGATTCTGGGAAATATAAAATTAAATCATTTACTTTATAATATGAAAAATTAGTAATTGTATTAAAATTTACACACAATTATTATTATTTAAAAAATCACATGTTTTGTCTTTTAGTGATAGATTCTTCAATTCCACATTCCTCAATTCTTCACAATTCTGAATAGTTAACTGGTAACATTTTTAAAATATTCCACAACATTCCTCAATTCTATAGCATTCCTCAGGTACCAGTTAGGGTCTAAATCTGCAGTTCCCAAGCTTTTTTTTTTTTGCTTTTTCTGTAAAATACAAAATAAGCATAGTATAGATATATATAGGGTAAAAAACTAAAAATATATTCAGTTTTTTATTTGCATTGATTATCTTTCTTTAGAGTTTTATAATAAGTTAAAAAGACCATCGTGCACATGACGTATAAAGTAGTAGTTACTTTTTAATAAAGGGTAGCTAAACAAATTAGGGTTTTGAAGAAAGATGGAGCAACAAGAAGAGAAGATCAGAAAAGTCTACACAAGAAGAAGAACAAAACTGAAATCAACTTGGTCACTTCCTGTCGATCTAACCACAGAGATACTCTTAAGGCTGCCTGAGGAATCTGTTGCGAGGTTTCGTTGCGTGTCGAAGCTTTGGTCATCAATCACAACCGATCCATACTTCATCAACTTGTTCGAAACTCGGTCCCCAAGGCCGAGTCTTATACTCTGCTACATAAAAGATGACAACTTGTGTGTTTCCCCAACATTCTCACACTCTTCATCAGGAATCGAACAAGTCCTACTCTTCTCCTCAGCCTATTGATAGTTATAATATCAAATTCCCAGAAGAATACAGTGACTTGTCATCTACGGAATCTGTCCAGGGCTTGATCTGCTTTCAAGAATCAGGAAAGCCGATAGTTTGGAACCCAAGCAAGAGAAAGTTCTTAACCTTACCCAAATCTAGATTGAGATCGGAGCGTATAAAGGTGTTTTTAGGATATGATCCTGTCCAAGGTAAACACAAAGTAATGTTCCTTCCTTTAAGAAGAACTGGCGATGCATGCCAAGTTTTAACATTGGGATCAGCTAAAGAATAATGGAGAACGGTCAAAACTAACCATAAGCATCGTTCTATCTTTGATACTGCTGGGACATGCATCAACGGGGTTATATATTATTTAGCATGTATGTATCACACTGGGGTTATAATGAGTTTTGATGTAAGATCTGAAACATTCGGTAGGATAAAGTTACCACCTGGTGCTTCTAGGGGTAAACTGATACCTTACGAGGGTAGGTTAGCTTATTCTGATCAGATTGTTAACAAGACGAATTATATGAGATTGTGGATTTTGGAGAAACACAAGTGGTCGTGTCAAGACTTTTTTTTACCTCTTGGTAAGTTTAAATGGAGTTTCAATATCTCTTTCTCACTAAAAGGTTTTACTCATGCCGGTGAGTTGTTTATGCACCACACTGGTTTGTAAGGAACAGCAGCTGTAGAAGATTCAAATTTGAAGGAATCGCAGACGACGACGACGACGACGAAACGTATAAGCTCCATGTTTTCCCCAATCAATCACATTGAGAGTAAAGTGTCTTTGTAACAGTTTGTTGCTTTTTTGTTGTTGTTGTCTTCTTTCTTTTAGAATGACACTTTAATTTATGCAACATAATGATTCTTTTGTTTTTCTTAGAACTTTCTCATTCCTTACTTTGATTATGTTCCGTTCCATTACCAATTCTTTGTAATTTTTAAATGTAAAACATGAATTGCACAAAGGGAACATTATTTGAAGTCCAAGAGATCAAACATGACGCCAAAAACCAACCTATACCAAAAAAGGTTTATGTTCTGAATTCTGATGGAGATGGAAGGTCTCGCATCCGTACCATAAAAAATATTTAGTGCAAAAATAACACCACATAATTTACAAACTAGATTAGGTCGCAACCGAGCATCTCTTCTTCCAATGCCCTTTCGCCCAAAAAGTCTGGCATCTGGCTCCTCTCAAGTCACCTATCTGTCCCTCACTAGAAAACAACTTCACCCGAAGCCTTGTAAACTCCAAGAACATGATTTGCCTCCCTCCGACTGGCCTTCATCTAGGACCGATCTTCCCGTGGCTTGTCTGGGCCATATGGACAGCGAGAAACTATCTCACTTTTGAAGACAGACAGTTCACCCCTGAAGACACCGTTCTCAAAGCCCTAGTCGAAGCAAAAGAATGGCAGAATGCCCAATCAACAATCGACACCATCAAGCTACATCCTCGACACCAGAAATCACACAGAAACTACGAAGATGCTATTACCTGTTTCACAGATGGAGCCTGGAGTCTAGATACAGGAATAGCCGGATAAGGATGGATCTTCATCGATAGCTCAGGCGTTGAATTAGGATCGGGGCAAGCCGCTGAGAAATTCGTATCGTCTTCACTGATGGCGGAAGCACTATCAATCAGATCTGCCCTCAATCACGCCCTAGAGAATCGTTATACCAAGCTGGTTCTCAAATCCGACGCTCAGGACCTTGTCCTAGCTATCACTGCGCTCGAGCCTATCAAAGAGATCTACGGTCTACTTTTCGATATTCAAGCTCTTGCTTCTCTTTTCACTTCTGTTTCGTTTGTGTTTGTTCCTCGATCACAAAACTCAAAGGCTGATCTCCTCGCTAAGTCAGCGAAGAGCCGTTTCTGTTCTGTAGCTCTATCCGATTAGCCCGGTTTGGTTTAATTAAAAAGCGTTGTTCAGAAAAAAAAAGACCGAATCAGCAATCCATCAGTTTTGGCGCAATTTAATATTTTATTATTCGTATAAAAATTATTATAAAAAAACCAAAAAATAACTTTTCATCACCCTTAACAATAAGAAAAGTATATTTCTATTTGAATCATTGACACTTTAAAATGAACGAATGATTATGTTGAATGAAGCTGCTCTACAAGCAAATAGAGTACAAGTGTACAACTAATAAACAACAAAACTCTTCAACGGAAATAAACAGTAGAGGGTGACGTGTCTTAGACACATTATAGACATCAAATTGACTATTCCATGGAAGTTTCATAGAGGCTACGGTCCTCTCAAGGAGTTTGAGGTTATTCATCGAGTTTTTTATAATCAACAAGAAAAAATTATTGATTATATGGTCAAGCTTCTAACATTTATTTTTGCATTAACTTATCATTGTTGATAGTTCTATAATTGAAGACACACTAGACCATATCATCTACTTGTTGCGCTTGGAAACTTACAGTTTCAATATGAGATTGAGACGACCATAATATAAAGCCCCAAAGTTCTTGATTAATAAAAGAAAACAGAAAACATTAGTAATAAAAATGTCTTATATTCTACTTATCTTTATGGAGATCCTCGTAATCCAATACTTCCCAAGAGCAAGCAGCAGCCTTCTCCTTGTTCAGCTCAGCTTTAAGATTCAACACTGTCTGCTCCAAAGTATCTGATTCGTCCTTCTCCTTGTTCAACTCATCTTCAAGATCCCACACCGTCTGTTCCAACGACAGAACTTTGGCAGCAGATGTATCTGATTTGCCCTTCTCCTTGTTCAACACTTCTTCAAGATTCATCACTGCCTGTTCCAACTACAAAACTTTCGCAGCAAAAGTATCTGATTTGCCCTTCTCCTTGTTCAGCTTATCTTTAAGATCACACACGGTCTCCTCCAACAATATAACTTTAGCAACATAACCATAAGATTCGTGCCTCTCTTTTTTCAGCTCCTCTTTAAGATCCGACACAGTCTGTTCCAACGACAGAACTTTAGCAGCAGATGTATCTGATTTGCCCTTCTCATTGTTCAGCTCAGCTCTCATATTCAACACTGTCTGCTCAAACGACAAAACTTTAACAGCACAAGTGTCTGATTTACCCTTCTCCTTGTTCAGCTCATCTTTAAGATTCATCACTGTCTGCTCCAATGACATAACTTTAGCAGCACAAGTATAAGATTCTTCCTTCTCTTTGTTCAGCTTTTTATTAAGATCCAACAACTCTTCTTTAAGATCCAACACTGTATGTTCCAACACCTCATTTATAAGATCCAACGCCCCATCTTTAAAATCCGACACTGTCTTCTCCAACGAGAGAACTCTAGCAGCACAAGTATCAGCTTTTCCCTTCTCTTTGTTCAGTTCAAGTGTGAGTTTCTTGATTTGCTCCTCGAGTTTTTGGACTTGAACGTTTGATTTCTTCTTCTCAACCTCATCAAGCTTTGTCTTCAACCAGTCTAGCTTGAATCCTGCTTCCGTTAGCTCGATCAGATCGTCCTGAGCGTTTCTTAGCTCTGTCTCTGAGATGTCATGTGGAGGCTTGTCCATTGTCTCTATGAGACCGAGTAGGATATTCATGCACGTTGTCTTCAGGGATTGGTTCTTTAACCTCAAGTTTAAAGCAATGTCCGGTTGTTCAGTGAAAAGCTTAGTCACTGAAACAGCCTGTAAACAAGAGAAAAATGCATATTAAGTTAGCCGGAAAATGGAATCAATTAAATAAGAAGGAAATCAATAACAAGCATCCTTATATTCAAATCATACCTGAGAATAAAGAACTTGGAAACCATTGGAATCGAACTTCTCATTCCCAGTGGCATCTCCTTGATCAACAACTTCAACTACTTTCACTTCCACTTTAACTATCAGTTTGTTCTTCTCCAAAAACCCTTTTTCTTGAAGCTTTTCAAGAGGCACGGCCTTTGACGTACCCCATCCTGTGACCTGAGCGCAAAATAAGCTGCTGGATTCTGTAAAACAACAAAAAACAAATTACAGAAAACTAATTGATTTTTTCTTCTTTACCAATCAGGTATTTATATACATGGAAGATAAACTAATTACCAGGGTTTCTCAATAGCTCTTCGGCTGATTCATTTAACAGAACGAAGGAAAAACTAGCTAGTCTTTTCCATCCAAGTCGCAGTGATCCAGGATTCGAAACACAGAGGTACAGAGCCAAGTGATCATCAACCAAATTTCCTTTGGGATGAACCTTAACATACCTGGAGGAAACAGATTAAATGAAACGCTTTAGTTGTTCATCTAATACAACAATGTTAGAAGATGACTTAAGAAAGAAAAAAAAAAAAAAACACAATTCTTACCATTTGCAGCCGCCGCTTGAGAATATTGGAGATCGTATGAGACCTTTCTTGCCGGAGAAGTTATCTATCTCAAAGGTAAAACTCGTCTGCTTTTGACTCTCCATATTCTCAATTCGTTCTTAACCCTTTGTTACTTCGAGCAAAGATGATCTTCTCAGAACTCAGAAATTTCTGGTACTTTCCCGTAAATATATAAAGCTTTTTCAAAACCCTAATTCAAAAAGAAATAAGGAAACTAATTAGAATTAGAACGAGACAAATAAACTTTTCTTTTGTAACTTACTAGCTAGGTGATTTTTATAAAAGAAATGTATCTTATTTAAATTTTTGTAGTAAAATTCTTAGAATTAGTTATCAGCAATTATTTGGGTTTCACATGTTAATTATTTAAAAATATTAAAGTGATTTTCTATATGTGCTAAAGCTTCAAATGCTATAAACAACATATATATGGTTTATTTTTTTCAGAATATTTAACTTAGCACACATCTTGTTTTTAGTTTATAAACTTTGATTCATATTATATACACATCAAATCAATCTTTTCTTCTCTTTTTTGGCTTAAAGAAAATTTAAATCACTATTTATTCAAAGTTAATATTTTTTATGAATGAATTTTTTTATGTTTTCTCTATGAGTTTTTTTTCTCTCTATACATTGCATATTATAAATAGTTTCATAAATAGTTTAGCCTTAAATATATTTAAAAATATATAATTGACGTTTTTGAAAATACACACTTATTTGAAGTCCTTATTAGTTATTAGTTACATATTTGCTAAGTAATTGCAAAATTCAGTTAAAGATTTTTTAATTGAATATGTGGTTATTAACTTGCCTAATATAACTTACAAAGGTTACTCCGGCCAACTCATCATTTGATTTGAATAAAAGTATTTGGCAAGTTTGTGTAGCACCAAAAAATCAAAATTTTCTTGTCGATGACAAAAGCTTTGCCGGTAGGTCAAGCTCTAACCGCTTGTAGAATTGATGCATACACCTCTTACCAGCGTTGTGGCGAACAAAAAGACAAAGTCAGTATCTTCTTCATACTTCTCCTCTACATGGCAAGCTCATACCTCTACAACTCCTTCAAAATGCAACAATGATGATTACTCTACCCCTAATAGAATTATTGTCTACTCCTCTCTACCTTGGGATATTTTGGCATTTGTGGAAAACCCCTAATCTCCTCTCTACGTGTGTCAGACACATTGTGGACATCAAATCGACTCTTCAATGGAAATTTCATATAGGTTACGCCGTTACGGAACTCTCAAGGAGTTTGAGGTTAAGAAAGTAGTTTATGGAATTATCTAACTCATTATTTTCGTCCAGTTCAAATGACTCTTTCTTTCTTTCTCTCTGTTGTGGTTATTTATCGAATTTTATATAATCAACGAGAAATAATGATTGTTATATGGATATGGCCGTGCTTGTAGAATTTGTTTTTGCATGAATATGTCGTTGATGATAGTTTTATAACCCAAGAAACAGTACTAGACCATACCATCTACTTATTGCGCTTGGAAACTTAAAGTTTCAAATGTGAGACTGAGACGTCCATAAATTTAAAACCCCAAAGTTCTTTGATTAATAAAAGAAAACAGACGAAATTAGTAATAAAAATGTCTTATATTCTACTTATCATTAATCCAATACTTCCCAAGAACAAACAGCAGCCTTCTCCTTGTTCAGCTCAGCACTGAGATTCAACACTGTCTGCTCCAACGACAAAACTTTAGCAGCAAAAGTATCTGATTTACCCTTCTCCTTGTTCAACACATCTTCAAGATCGGACATCGTCTGTTCCAATGTTCAAGATCCGACATAGTCTGTTCCAATCTTCAAGATCCGACATAATCTGTTCCAACGACAAAACTTTAGCAGCAGATGTATCTGATTTGCCCCTCTCCTCTTTCAGCTCATCTTTAAGATTCATCATTGTCTGTTCCGACGACAAAACTTTAGCAGCACAAGTATCTGATTTGCCCCTCTCCTCTTTCAGCTCATCTTTAAGATTCATCATTGTCTGTTCGGACGACAAAACTTTAGCAGCACAAGTATCTGATTTACCCTTCTCCTTGTTCAGCTCATCTTCAAGATTAAACACCTCATCTTTAAGATTCATCACTGTCTGCTCCAATGACATAACTTAATAAGATTCTTGCTTCTCTTTGTTCAGCTCCTCTTTGAGATCAAACACCTTATATTTAAGATCCCACATTGTCTGCTCCAATGAATTAGCTTTAGCAGCATAAGTATAAGATTCGTTCTTCTCTTTTTGCAGCTCCTTTTCAAGATCAAACTCCTTATGTTTAAGAGTTGACACTGTCTGTTCCAACGAGAGAATTTTAGCAGCAGATTCGAGCTTCTCCTTGTTAAGCTCATATTCAAGATCCGACACCGTCTTCTCCAACGAGAGAACTTTAGCCGCACAAGTATCAGCTTTTCCCTTCTCTTTGTTCAGATCAAGGGTGAGATTCTTGATGTGTTCCTCGAGTTCTTGGACTTGTACATTTGATTTCTTCCTCTCCAAGGTAACCTCATCAAGTTTTGTCTTCAACCAGTCTAGCTTGAAGCCCACGTCTGTTAGATCAATCAACTCGCTGCCAGCGTTGCTTAGCTCAGTCTCGGAGATGTCGTGTGGAGGCTTGTTCAACGTCTCGACAAGACCAAGGAGGACATTCATGTACGTTGTCTTCAGGAATTGGTTCGTTAACCTCAAGTTTAAAGCAATGTCCGGATGCTCAATAAAAAGCCTACCCACCGAAACAACCTATCAACAAGACAAAGATCTAATTATGTTAACAAGAAAAAGGAATCAAGTAAAGAAGAATAAAAACAACAACCTTATAATAATCAAATCATACCTGATGGTAAAGAACTTGGAAACCTCTGACATCTAACATCTCCTTCCCAGTGACAACTCCTTCATCGACTACTTCAACTACTTTTACTTCCACTTTAACTATCAGTTTGTTCTTCACCATATACTTTTGAAGCTTTTGGAGAGGCACAGCCCTTGTCCGACCCCATCCTCCGATCTCAGCGCAGAACAATTTGCGGGGTGATTCTGTAAGACAAAAAATAATAATAATAATAATAATTGAAGTTTGCTTCTTCATCAATCAGATATCAAGCGAAACTAGATGGAAATAAATTAATTGCGTACCCTTTGTTCTTAAGAGAACTTTGCCTGATTCATTCAACAGAGGGAAGGAATAACTAGCTTGTCTTTGCCATCCAAGTCGCAATGATTCAGTATTCGAAACATTGAGGTACAGAGACAAGTGATCATCAACAATATATCCTTTGGGATGAACCTTAACATACCTAGAGGAAACAGATTAATGAAACACTTTAGTTGTTCATCTAATACAAAACTATGTTGTTTGAATGTGTTATAGCTGAAGCTCGTGTGATTCAATTTCAGGAAGATTTCGGTTTTGCAATCTGATTGGAATTGAGAGAGCTGGTTATTGCCGGTTGAATTGAAGCGGTTTGCGGAGACGAAACGGTGCGTTTCGAGGAAGACAGAGTTAGTGAGAAGCCTCTGATTGCGACAGAGTCTTTCTCTTGTTTGCTTATAAATACTGTGTTCCAGCGACATATCTCCTTTGTGAGAGAGACGAACATTTGAGAGCTTGTATCGAGTTGTTACTCTTGTTCTTGAGCTGTACTTTTCTCCACTCAATATATTGCCTGGATTGATCCGGCCCCAGACGTAGGTTTTACTATCACACCGATAGGCCGAACTGGGTTAAAAAAGCTTTGTGTGCTCCTCTTTACTTTCTTGCTCTGTTTTCTTTACTCTCTGTTTCAAACAAACGAGTGACGTAGAGAGAGCATGTGAGGTTAGATCTTGTGTTCGTGGTGTTGTGTTTCGTGACCAGATCTGCAACAAGTGGTATCAGAGCCAGGTTCTTGAGGAAAGTTACAAGCTTTGTCGAAGAAACGGTGTAAAGCTTCAAGCTTTGGTGTAAAGCTTCGAGCTTTGGAAGAAAGGTTCAACCTTTGGTGATAAAACATCAAGTTTCACCTTAAAGGTTTGAGCTTTGGTCTGGTTCTTTGGGTTTTGTCTTAAAGCTTCAAGCTTTGTCATAAAAACACAAACTTTATCACAAAGGCTTGAACTTTATTGCAAAAGGAGACACCTTTGCTCATTACAAGATGGCTAAGGAGTTATTGGCGAGTACACGGGTCGATATCGACAGATTCGACGGTAGCGGAGATTTTTCTTTGTGGAAGACAAGGATGATGTCAAATTTTCGTATCCTTGGGCTGAAGGAGGTTATCACAGATTTTAAGCTCATGAAGGAAGTTCCTCTCACCAGGACTGAGCCGAGACCAACTGTTGAGGGTGTTCCAACAGTCTTGTCGGAGCCACAAACACAATGGGTTCCAGATCCTGTAAAGCATGAGAAATCAGAGAAAGCCATGGGTGTGATTATTGCGAGTGTTGGTAATCATGTGCTGCGGAAGATTGAGCATTGTGAGACAGCAGCAGAGATGTGGTCACTCTTGAACAAGCTTTACATGGAGAGCACTTTACCAAACAGGATTCATCTGCAACTACAGTTTTATACATTCAAGATGAATGAATCAAGGTCTGTTGATGAGAATGTAGATGATTTTCTGAAAATAGTTGCAGAGCTGAGTAGTCTTGATGTGAAGGTTTCAAATGAGGTCCAAGCTATTCTGTTCTTGACTTCACTATCATCAAGCTATGATCAGCTGAAGCATACTCTGAAGTATGGACGAGATTCTCTGACCTTAGAGGAGGTTGTATCTGCAGTCAGGTCAAGAGAAAGAGAACTTACAACTGAAGTTCAAAGGGATTACAAAAGTCCTGCAGCAAGCTTGTATGCTAAAGATAGAGGAAGGTCAACCTCTAAAGGTCCCAAGGAGAATGGGAGAGGCAGGAGCAGATCAAGCTCTAAGTTTAGAGTTACTTGCTGGTTTTGCAAGAAAGAGGGTCATATGAAAAAAGATTGCTATGCTAGGAAGAAGAAGTATGGGGTTGATGGTCCAGGAGAAGCAGGAGTTATCATAGAGAAGTTGGTTATCTCAGAAGCATTGAGCATGGATGGTCAAGGAGCTAAAGATGTGTGGGTGTTGGATTCTGGATGTACATTCCATATGACATCACGTAGAGACTGGTTTGTTGATCTACACGATAATGGAGGTACAACTATTCTGTTGGGTGATGATCATTCAGTTCAATCACAAGGACAGGGATCAATCAGAATAAATACTCATGGTGGCTCAATCAAGGTCCTGAACAATGTGAGATATGTACCAGAGTTGAGAAGAAATCTTATCTCCACAGGCACACTAGACAGACTTGGGTTTAAGCATGAAGGTGGAGATGGTAAAGTCAGATACTTCAAGAACAACAAGACTGCACTCCGTGGTGAATTGAAAAATGGACTGTATCTCCTCGATGGTGAGACTGTTTTACCTGAAACCTGCAATGTTGAGAAGAAACAGGTTGAGATAGATAAAACAGTTCTGTGGCATAGTAGACTTGGGCATATGAGCATCAACAGCATGAGAATCTTGACTGGAAAAGGGTTGATTGACAGAAAAGAAGTGAAAGAGCTCAAGTTTTGTGAACATTGTGTAATGGGAAAATCAAAGAAGCTGAGCTTTAATGTGGGAAGACACGACACACAAGATGTTCTTGGATATCTACATGCTGATTTGTGGGGTTCACCAAATACCACACCTTCGTTACCAGGGAAGCAATACTTCTTGTCTATCATCGATGACAAGACAAGAAAGGTGTGGTTAATGTTCTTGAAGACAAAGGATGAAACATTTGACAAGTTCTGTGAATGGAAGAATTTGGTGGAGAACCAAATGAACAAAATAGTGAAAGTTCTCAGAACTGACAATGGGCTGGAGTTTTGTAATGTGAAGTTTGATGACTATTGCAGAACACATGGCATAGAGAGGCATCGCACTTGTACCTATACACCACATCAAAATGGTGTTGCGGAGAGGATGAATCGTACACTAATGGAGAAAGTGAGATGTATGTTGAATGAGTCTGGACTTGGAGAAGAGTTCTGGGCAGAAGCAGCTAGTACAGCAGCTTATGTAATCAACAGATCTCCATGCTCTGCAATAGATCACAATGTACCAGAAGAGTTGTGGCTAAACAGAAAACCAGGATATAAGCATATGAGAAAGTTTGGCTCTATCGCTTATGTGCATCATGATCAAGGAAAGTTGAAGCCAAGAGCATTGAAAGGGGTTTTCTTGGGTTATCCACAAGGCACAAAGGGTTACAGAGTCTGGTTGTTGGAGTTGGAGAAGTGTGTTATAAGCAGAAATGTTGTGTTTCATGAGGAAAAGGTTTTCAAAGATCTAAAGTCTGAAGAAGAACATGGGGTTAAGAACAGTGTTGAGTCTGGTCAATCAAGTGAGTCAAGCAGAGTTGAGATTACGGCTGATGTGAGTTCAGAGGAACAACAACCAAGTACTGAGAATATTGTTTCAGGTGGAGTTACTGTGGAAAGTTCAAGTGAGTCAGAGGAAGAGTTTGAAAATAATGATCAAGAAGAGGTGGAGTTGGCTGGATATCAACTAGCAAGGGAAAGAGATCGAAGAGTTATAGCTCCACCAGCTCGGTTTAATGACTACAGTATGGTAGCTTTTGCACTTCTAACTGCAGAAGATATTGAGATTGATGATCCACAGTGTTACCATGAAGCAATGCAGTCAAAAGATTGGGAGAAATGGAATGGGTCTATGGGAGAAGAAATGGGCTCGTTGGCAAAGAACAGGACTTGGGTTATTGTTGACAGGCCAAAAGACAAGAAAGTGCTCGGTGGCAGGTGGTTATACACGAAGAAGCCTGGTATACCTTGTGTTGAACTAAAGAGATTCAAATCAAGATTAGTAGCTCGGGGTTTTACACAACGTGAAGGCATAGACTATCAAGAAGTATTTGCACCGGTGGTTAAACATGTCTCTATAAGGATTTTGATGTCAGCGGTTGTGAATCAAGATCTTGAGCTGGAACAAATGGATGTGAAAACTGCATTTCTTCATGGAGATCTAGATCAAGAACTTTATATGGAGCAGCCTGAGGGGTTTGAAGTAAACAAAGATAAAGATCAGGTGTGCCTCTTGAAAAAGTCTCTTTATGGATTAAAACAGTCACCTAGACTGTGGAACAAGAGGTTTAATAAATTCATGATGGAGCAAAAGTTCTTGAGGAGTGAGCGGGACACTTGTGTTTATGTGAAGAAAGTTGATCAAGGCTTTGTGTATCTATTGTTGTATGTTGACGGCATGTTGTTGGCGGCAAAAGAAATGACAGAGATTGAGAAGCTGAAGAAAGTGTTGAGCTCAGAGTTTGAAATGAAGGATTTGGGTGCAGCGAGTAGGATTTTGGGTATTGATATCAAGAGAGACAGAAAAGAGGGTGTTCTGTGGTTGTCTCAGTCAGGTTATTTGGGCAAGGTTATCAAGAGATTCAATATGGTTGAGGCTAAGACAGTGAATACACCAATGGGAGGACATTTTAAGCTATCTGCAGTAAGTGACGCTTCAGAATGTGTTGATACAGAAAAGGTTCCATACTCAAGCGCAGTGGGAAGTCTCATGTATGCAATGGTGGGAACAAGACCAGATTTGGCTTATGCGATTGGTTTGGTCAGCAGGTTTATGAGTAAGCCTGGGAGTATACATTGGGAAGCAGTCAAATGGTTGCTCAGATATGTTAAAAGGTCTTCTGATCTGAGTCTAGTTTTCAGAAGAAACAAAGATTTCAGAGTTCAAGGTTATTGTGATTCAGATTTTGCTGGGGATTTGGACAGGAAAAGGTTGACAAGTGGTTATGTGTTCACTGTAGGAGGTAACACCGTGAGCTGGAGGTCTGGTTTGCAACAGATTACAGCATTATCAACTACTGAAGCTGAATATATAGCATTGACTGAAGCTGTTAAAGAAGCAATCTGGATCAAAGGACTTGTTAAAGATATGGGATTTGAAGAAGAGAAGGCTACAATTTGGTGTGATTCACAATCTGCTATATGTTTGTCAAAGAACAGTACATTTCATGAAAGAACAAAACATATAGCAGTGAAGTATCACTTCATCAGAGACATCATTGAAGAAGGGGAAGTAGCTGTTGAGAAGATAGATACTTCAGAAAATCCTGCGGATATTCTAACCAAGACTGTCCCTGTTAACAAGTTTGTTGCAGCTTTAGAGCTTCTAAGGCTGATCAACTGAGGATGAAGCATTATCCTGCCGGAGGTTAAATCCTAAGTATGTGCAGTATATTGTGTGGAGAGGAAACTTGAATCAAGGTGGAGAATGTTATAGCTGAAGCTCGTGTGATTCAATTTCAGGAAGATTTCGGTTTTGCAATCTGATTGGAATTGAGAGAGCTGGTTATTGCCGGTTGAATTGAAGCGGTTTGCGGAGACGAAACGGTGCGTTTCGAGGAAGACAGAGTTAGTGAGAAGCCTCTGATCGCGACAGAGTCTTTCTCTTGTTTGCTTATAAATACTGTGTTCCAGCGACATATCTCCTTTGTGAGAGAGACGAACATTTGAGAGCTTGTATCGAGTTGTTTCTCTTGTTCTTGAGCTGTACTTTTCTTCACTCAATATATTGCCTGGATTGATCCGGCCCCAGACGTAGGTTTTACTATCACATCGATAGGCCGAACTGGGTTAAAAAAGCTTTGTGTGCTCCTCTTTACTTTCTTGCTTTGTTTTCTTTACTCTCTGTTTCAAACAAACGAGTGACGTAGAGAGAGCATGTGAGGTTAGATCTTGTGTTCGTGGTGTTGTGTTTCGTGACCAGATCTGCAACAGAATGTTAGAGGATGAGTTAAGAAATACTGTTAGTACCATTCGCAGCCGCCGCTTGAGAATTTTGGTGATCGTATCACAGCTTCCTTGTCGGAGAAGTTATCTATTTCAAAGGTGAAACTCGTCTGCTTTTGACTCTCCATATTCTCTATTCGTATGCTTTGTTACTTCGAGCAAAGATGATCTTCTCAAAAACTTGTATTTTTTTATACTTCCCCGAGAATATATAAAGCTTTTTCTAAACCCTAATTCAAAAAGAAATATGGAAACTTCATGTAAATTAGGATTAAAAGTTAAAACTAGGCAAATAAACTTTTCTTTTGCAAGTTATTTCAAATTATCGAATAATTAAAAGGAAATACTAAAAGTCTAAGTTTTTTCAAAGGTCGTTACTGAATTACTTAAAAGGAAATATCCCGAAAAATAACATAACAAAAATATAAAGTTAAAGTAAATATTATTACACAAAATATATCCAAATTTTAAAATTCATGTCAAATCTCTTTCCATTGATACGGTACAATAATAAGAATCAGATCATAAACTTAGAAATCTCCAAAAGCTCGTCTATAGATCTCATCTCAGTCTATTTTTTTTACTCCTGCCAATAAACAAATTCAACACATCATAATCATATTTTGTCTGGATTCAATATTTTATACTATATGATCATAAATAAATCATGCATTACCCTGAATCTCTTTCGGCGTAAATCATCCGTACTGTAACCAATAGCTTCGTCTCTGTTATCCAACGCTCTCCTCGAGTTCCGGAAGAAACCAACCTTGTCCCATGTTAGCTCATAGTCTGCCTTTAGCCGAGTACCTTCCTGCTCAAACCACAAAAATCAGTCATATTCCTAAACATTTGTGTCTAATGAAACCTAAAATGCTTATTTGCAATATAAATGATAGTACCTTTTGCATTGAGCGACCAGAGAAAGCCTTCATGGCATTGACGAAGTCGTTGTACTTCTCGAACTGAACCACAATCTTGCAATGGAGACCTGACACGAGGTCTCCTCCATTGCTCTCATCTGCGTCTTTACCTAGATCATCGTCCTCAGCAACATTAAGATTACTACAGAGGATGAGTTAAACGCAGCGAATCTTGAAAAGTTTAGATATTGCATCAAGCACACATGGTACAACAAGTTCAATACGATGACCGACCATAATCAGATAACCAAAGCAGAGAGATAAGAGATTAACCCGAGACCAGATAAGCATCAATGGCACTTAACCAAGATGCATCAAATCTACCTAAACCAAGCACAAAACTAACGGAAATTTGCAATAAGCAAGTCACAGATCAATCTTAATTCCCATAATGTCACATTCTTGAAGCAAATTTACGAATGTTGTTCGTCTCTCCGGTAGAGAAAAACCCAATTTTGGAACAAACATGATCAAACTGGACATGAAAAGATGATAGAATCTTACTGATACTCGAGCACAGAGATTGAACTGATACATGACCATAAACAGATAACTAAAACAGAGAGATTAAACTGAGACCATAAGTATCCACCAATGGCACTTGACCAAGAAACGTCATACAAAATGTCAGTTCTATGTACAAATGCAGCACAATACCAATGGAAATTTGCAATAAGCAAGTAACAGATCAATCTTAAGTCCCATAGTGTCACATTCTTGAAGCAAATTTATGAATATTCTTCTCTCTCCGGTAGAGAAAAAACACAATTTTGGAACAATCATGATCAAATTGGACATGAAAAGATGATAGAATCTTACTGAGCACAGAGATTAAACTGATAAATGACCATAATCAGATAACTAAAACAGAGAGATTAAACTGAGACCATAAGTACTTGTTAGGTAGAATTTTCATCCACCAATTGCACTTAACCAAGAAACTTCATACAAAATGTCAGTTCTATGTCCTAGATGCATCAAATCTACCCTAAAAGCAGCACAAAACCAATAGAAATCTGCAATAAGCAAGCCACAGATCAATCTCAACTCCCATAATGTCACATTCTTGAATCAAATTTATGAATGTTTTTCTTCTCTCCGACAGAGAAAAACACAATTTTGCACAAACTTCATACTCGAGCACACATGAACAGCAAGTTCAATACGATGACCATAATCATATAACTAAAGCACAGAGATTAAACCGAGACCATAAGTATCCACCAATGGCATAAAACCAAGAAACTTCATACAAAATGTCAGTTCTATGTCCAATTATATATGCACAAAACCAATGGAAATTTGCAATAAGCAAGCCACAGATCAACCTCAATTTCCATAATGTCACATTCTAGAAGCAAATTTACGAATGTTGTTCTTCTCTCCGGTAGAGAAAAACACAATCTTTAGAACAGATTCAATCAGAATCTTACCTAATTTTCCCAAAGCTGGAGAAGATTGTATGTGTAACCAACATTGAAGGCTTTGATGAAACTCTTGGCTCTGCAAACCATCTTGAAGGCACACCTCTCAGTACCATAGTATCAGCCTCTCTTCTTATCTCTCTTGGATGTCCTACAAAAACCAAAATACCCAAAACAAAAATTGAAAACACTCCAAGCAAACACCAATCAAAGCTGAACAAAATCAATGAAACCCAGATTACCAAAAGCGTAAAACTCCTCCCAATCTTTCTTCACCCTCTCGAAATCATCTGAAACCGGAAGCACAACACTGAGTTTATACTTGACTCCTTCCAAATTCAGCTCAATTCCATTCATCTTCTCAACCAAAACTCTCCTCCAGTCAATAAACTTCTTCTCCAACTCCTTCACATCTCTCTCTCCATCAACCTTCTTCTTCCCCTTCTTACCTTCGAGAAACCCTAAATCGCGGATAAATAGCGATCCGTGAGCTACTGGCTCCTCCCGCTTCCGTTTCTTCAAGTCCCTGTGACGCCGAACAACGATATCTTCTTCGGGAACTGTCACGGAAGGGAAGATTGAGCTCTTGAGGAAATCTATCAAGGATCGCTTGAGCTGCCATTCGTCGATTGGCTTCGATACGGTAGGGATAAGAGAGTGGATTGTGAGACAGAGCTTGACGCGTGAGACGAGAGAAAGGCCGTTCTCGATTTCTAGGTTTTCCGCCGGAGATAGCTCTTCTAACGATCGCATTTTTTTTGGCTCGCCGTCGATGTATAATTCAGACGACGATGATAGGCTCTCTTCGCGGTGTCGTCGGATTTTGACTGACGAGGTTTTAGTAGAGAGATTGATTACTGAAACCGAACGAAACCAAACCGTAAAAGTATATACGACCTGGATTAACTGTTAACCAATCCGATTTGATCTGAACCGAAAATAACCGATTCAGAAATCGAACTACTGTATATTTGACTTTGTTTAAATGGATTTATTTCTTCGGTTGACCAAAAATAAATAAATAAATGGATTCATTTCTTCAAAATTTCCAAAATCCCGACCAAAAAGCTAAAGCGAATTAAACAAAAGAAACCGATCTGCTAGAGTGCAAAATGGAAACAAATTAAAAAGCAAACTTAAACATAATTAAGGCCATGAATGTTTGACTGGTTTTTAGATTTTGGATTTTGGTTTTTAGATTTTAGTTTTTGATTTTTGATTTTGATTTTGCTGTAGATTTAATTTTCTTTTTTTTTAAATTAAAAAATGGGTGAAAAAACCTATCGTTGCTAGTGTTTGTGAGAAACCCAAAAAATAGAGATTTTAGTTTCTATGTACAAAATGGAAAAACTCTACAAAAACTAGTTTCCCTAAAAATTAGGGAATCTGTTTCAGTAAAATCTTGATTGGATGAAAAATGGTTTTTTTAAAAAACAAAAACCAAAATCTAAACTAGAATCTGCAAACAATCAAGACCTAAGATGCAACCTAATTTGTTTCGATAAATTTGTGAATGTTGGTTTTCGACGTAACATCTTTATGTGACTAAAGTTGAATATACTTATTTTATCGTGAAGTTTTTTCCGACGCATTCAAGATTACTTTAAAGATCTTAAAGATTCATTTTGCTTTCATTTCTATGTTTATTAGATGTATTTAAAGAGGATATATGGCTATATAATTAGAAAGAAAAAAATAAAGAGAGAAGAAATCGGTTTCTCTAACACAAGACATTTTTTTTTAACACTGGATTGACTAATCTATTACACAAATATGAGAACTGTTACAAGACAATTCTACAACGGACGATTCTACCATCTAACACAAGATATTATGTTACATATCTAGTAGCACTACAAATGTATTATATATTTTTGGATGGCGGAAATTTTAAACTTTTATCACCCTATTAAAACAAGCATTCTGCATTAATTTTCATTGTCTTACTTGGGATCAATATTGTTTTTGTATTTTCTCATGAAGGAAACATGAGTCTTCTTGGACCTTGGTCTGTTTTTATACATGATTTAACTATGGGGAATTTTGAAACAGGTCTTTTATTATAGTTTCATATCTTTCGAACAATTTTAATGTATCAAAATAAGATGTGAACATGTATAATTAAACCATTAATATTATCAAAAATATCTAACACAGATGAGCAAGACAACTATTATGGATCTTTAACTGGATTGTGGGCAAGGCAAAAAAGGAATCCAGCAGAGATGCTTGTTCTCGGGTTGAGGAATGCAAGTGCAACCGAGGTCGTAAGGACCAAGATCGAATGTTGAACCATTGAACGTTCTTTTTAGTTCTTGCCAGCATTGTGTGATGATATGTTTTTGGCATGGACCATCGAATATTTGTTTTCGTGATGGGCACCATGGTCTTATCTCCGCAATGGTTAGGCTTGAGAGAAGGGAGATCAAGACACAAGAAACCAAAACAATTGCAGCCACCTTCATCTTCTTCTTCTTTTTGCTTTTTTTTTTCTTTCTTTTTTGGCTTATATATTTTGTTGTGACTTGTGATTGTTGTCCAAACAAACACTAATATTCTACTTATATATAATGTCTACACATATGGTATTGCTATATATATATACACAGGTACGTTTGACCAAACATTAATATTGCACATTGGGTTTTGGGAAATCTCATAATGTTGAGACTATAGTTACCTTTTAAAATTGACAAAATAATGCATATGTTGAACCAAAAAGTTAAACAAAAAACAGTCAACAATAGTGTTGAGACTAAAGAGGGAATAACCTTTGATTCGAGGATATATATGCAATGTAAACGCTGAATGTTGCTGAATGTGGAATCTGGCTGAATTAAATAAAGGTTTTTTGCAGAATTTAAATGATTAGTTTATAATGCAAATGATAACAGCTGAATATTGCTGAATGCAGGATAAATGTCTGAAAACTATTTGGATAAACTAATAAAACCTTTACTCACTTAAATTAATAAAATAAATATAAACTTGTTTTTTTGTGAAATATTTAAATAATAGATTAGTAAAATATTTTTTAAAACTTATAAAATTTAGGAATTTGGATTGATAATTTATTAATCAAAGTTAAACTAAAAATAAAAAATAGATATTTAAAAAAGTATAATATTTTGATATTATAAATTCATTAATGAAAATCATCTCATATTTGCTACTTAATTATTTCTAGTATTGTATGCATATAGCACCATATGTTGTTTTCCCTTATTCTTACATTAATTTTATTGCTATAATAATTTAATTAAAAATTATATTAAATTAAATATATATCATACTAAAATAAAATTTTATTATTTTTTCAGTAATATTCCACAGTTCCCCAATTATTGAAATTGGTGTTGGGCTAATTTTTTAAAGAAAAACATCCACAATTCTTCAATATTTGTGTTGGATAAATGGATAATTCTTTAATACTCCTATTTAAGTGAATACATTAAAGTGAAATAATAAGTTTAAAGAAGAATTGAAAACAAAAAAGAATTTGACAATTCCTCTGGAAATTTTGTAACTGGTGTATTAGAAAAAGTATTCCTCAAGATTTTTTTCAACATTCTGCAACATGTATGTTACCAGTTAGGGCATAGTGAAGAAATTATCTAGACTTCAAAAACTTAGTATCCGGTTCCATTTTGGATGATACCAAGGTTTCACTATTCGGGTTTCCGAAGATTCCATCTCGAATTCCAAATACGAATTCCATATATGTCAAACTTCGTTTAAAAAAATATTCAAGTAATAATTCATAGGAAAATGAAAGACAAAATCAAAAATCCATGAACACAAATAACGTAGATGAGTCCGTAGAAAAAATAATCTCATTTGTATCTCCATAGAATATGATTGATGTCCGTTTTTAGGTACATAAACCATTATATATAGTCGAACAGCTTTGTGTTAACACAATGCAACATAGATAGGTGTTGAACGCAAGAGAACAAATTATTGCGATTCGATCATACTAATAATTAAAAAAAAATTGGTGCAACATTTTTTTTTTTTTTGTGATATTCTCGTTAGCTTAAAATTTCGGATACAAAGATATGGAGCTAATTAAATAACAAATGAAGTAATAAAATATAGAGAAGATAAATCTTCAACAAAAATACACAAACAAAAAATTGATACACTCCAAGTAACACAATCACATAAAAGTGCTACTTACCAAAAAAAAAAAAATCACATAAAAGTGCTTGTGACGCCGAACCTGGTCGGAAAATGTCACAAAAGGGAAGACTGAATTCTTGAGGAAATCTATCAAGGATCGCTTGAGCTGCCATTTGTCGGGACGAAAGGGTGGATTGTGAGACAGAGCTTGACGTGTGAGAAGAGAGAGAGGCCATTCTCGATTTCTAGGTTGTCTGCAGGAGATAGCTCTTCTAACCATCGCATAATTCAAAACGTGATTGGCTCTCTTCACGGTGTCGTTGGCTTTTTGACTGACGAGGCAGGTGAAACAGAACGAAACCAAACCGTAAAACTAGACTGTATCAACCAACCAACCCATCTATCTATGTGTAAACACATCCAAATACATCCAAAAAATTACAGATACATTATGCCAAAACTGCTTATATTATGGGATAGAGAGAGTATTTTTTAAAGAAATACAGTCTTTTAAGAGGCTGTCATAGTGTCATGTTTCATCTTCGCATTAAGTTTTGTTGTGAAACAAATTTTTGATATTTTTTTCATTTATGGCTGGTTTTAGTTTTAAGTTTAATTTCATTTTTAAAAATAATACTACAATATGATATAAATATTTTACTAAATGACCTCGTAAGAAATAATCTTGTCTCGGCCATATCAAGTTATCAACATTATACTTTACCTAGACCCAGCTCAAATAAATATATATTGGGCTTTATTTAAAATTAACTAGGAGAGAACCCGCGCAATGCGCGGGTTTATTAAACCAAATATTTTTAATTTAATTATTCAGAACATTAGATTCGAATATATCATTTGTTTTTTACTCGAATATATTAGATTCTGTAAGTTTTGCATTTTGTTTTTTTTCATATAGTTTTAAAATTTAGTTGTTATTTACGTGAAATCTTATATAGACTCATAGTGAATAGTTTCATATGTTTTTTGTTCTTTTATACAATAATTTATCGACTGGAGTTGAGTTCTTCTAATTTTCCTTATACTAACAATCATTATAGATTGATTATTATCCTACAGACTCATAGATAATAATAATTGCAACCCTTTTTAAAAGGAAATGAAATGAGCTAATTAGCCAGTAAGCCCATTTAAAGCTACCATGGAAACGAAGAGGTCCGATAAATAATCAAGCCATCAAAACGAACAGCATTACACATAATTTTGATTTAGATTTTTTTTTTTTTTTTTACGAAAACGACGTCGTTTTGGTGTAAGACGAAAAAAAAAGATAAGCGCAAAACGACGTCGTTTTGGTGTAAGACGAAAAAAAAAAAACGCAAAACGACGTCGTTTTGGTGTTAGGCGAAAAAAAAAAAAAAAAAAAAGAGTGCCACGTGTCAAAGACTTGAGAGTGTCCAAGCCTTATTAGTTAGACTATGTACAATGGTTTGAGAATTCAACCCCCTACTTTATGCTCCACATCAGCTTCTCTCTCTTCCACCTAGTCATTCAACACATTTTTAAATTTTGAGCACTACAATGGTTTTGTTTAATAAATTCAACACCCTACCCCACTACTTTTATATAATTGTTTTATGATTTCATATTAATGTAAATTGTTGTTTAATATTGACTTAAAATATATTAACATCGTAAACTAAATTTATATTCTCTTAAAACATATAAATAATTAAAACGACACATAATCATTATTAGAATAAATAAATTAGAAAACAAAAATTAAAATACATTAACAAACATACAATACAACTTATAAAATATGCATAATTAATTAGTACAATAGATTAAACATACAAACAATAATTTTTTTAATTCATCACACATAATCTTAAAAATCATTTTAATTGTGGAACACTCCAAATTTCGTCCATATGTGGTTGACTAAATCTGCTTGCAATTCATGATGTATATCTGAATCACGTAACTCAGATCTAGCACGCACATAATTTTCAAATGCATGCAGCACCTGGGTCGAGAATGGTTGCGTTGTACTTGACCCACTTGCCTCAGACTGATCATAATCAGTAAACTGTTGAGCATATGTATCTCGCTGAGCATATGTATCTCGCTTATCCTCAACAATCATATTATGTAATATGATACATGACCTCATGATGATTTGCAAATCAGCGATGTCCCACATGCGAGCTGGTTCACGAATGATCTTAAATCGAGCCTGCAATACTCCAAATGCACGTTCGATGTCCTTCCGACATCCCTCTTGATAATGTGCAAATAGCTTGTCTGGTTCACTTTGAGGAAGCTTAATTGATTTGACAAAAGTAGGATAAGAAGGATAAATACCGTCAGCTAGATAATATGCTATATTATATGGACGCTGGTTTACGGAGAAGTTCACTCTTGGAGCATTTCCTTGTTCAACATCATCGAACACTGGTGAACGGTCTAGAACGTTTCTATCGTTCAGCGTACCCGGACATCCAAAAAATGCATGCCAAATCCATAGATCCTGAGTTGCAACAGCTTCAAGAATAACAGTGGTGGTTCCCTTATCTCCCCGAGTAAATTGACCTTCCCACGCTTTTGGACAATTTTTCCATTCCCAATGCATGCAATCAATACTCCCAATCATCCCTGGAAACCCTCGCTTCTCATTAACATGCAAAATCCGTTGAAGATCATCTTGAGTTGGAGCTCTAAGATACACTCCCTCATACAGTTGTATGATTCTCTTACAGAAGCGACGCAAGCACTCTAAAGCTGTAGTACCTCCGATTTTGATGTATTCATCCACCGCGTCTGCAGCCATACCATATGCTAACATTCGCATAGCCGTAGTACATTTTGCTAAAGGAGATATACCTTCTTTATTGGCTGCGTCAAATCGTTGGGTAAAGTAGTTGTCAGTGCTTGATAGGTCCTTAACGATCCGAAGAAAAACATGTTTTCGCATCCGGAATCGTCGACGAAACATTGCATCATCGTATGTTGGCTGACTGGCAAAGTAGTCGTCAATCAATCTTTGATTTGCTGCGGCATGATCTCTCTTCACATATTTTCTCTCGCCACGGGGTCGATAGTCTTCTTCTATTCTCTTTCGACGCTCCTTAAACCGGTTGAAGACATACCTTTCTTCAATTTCACATTGCTTTTTGTAAGCTTCAACATCAAAAGGATATTGTGATGGATCCATTGATATATTTTAGTAAAATGAGATTTGTGGCATTTGTACAAGAATGTAAGAATGAATCTCTATTTATAAGCAAATGGAACAAATATATTGAGTGACTGAAAAAAAAGAGAGGATAAAATTCAAATGGTTCATGATACGATTCTCTCAATAAAAGCCAAAATGGGTCCAAACAAAAAAAACATTGTGGACAGTTGATAACATTACTAAAGTATAATGTGACAATACAACATTATTAAAGCACAATATGACAATACAACATTATTAAAGCATAACACGACAATACAACATTATTAAAGCACAATATGACAACACAACATTATGAAAGCATGAATTACAAACAAGCATTATTAAATATGAAATATCAAAATACAAACAAGCACTTGAAAATAATTAATTTCCAAATAGATCGTGGGTAAGCTTTTTCAATAGCTCTTTGCTTTGGTCATTGAGATGCTCTTTCTCAGATAACTTGATAAACATCTTCATTTTTTTAGATTCAGTCTTTTCTTTAATGAGTTTATTTCCCTCTTCTTGTTGCATGACTATTTTGTCCAACCGTTCCAACTCTTGCTCTTTGAATTGTTTGAAATCATTCCATTCTTTCTCTTCCACTTCTAAGACTGCATTTTTACCTTTTTTTTTACTCTTTTTTTTAGCTGCATCCCGTCCTATTGGACGAACACTAGACCCTACAGAGTTGGTGTCACCAGCACTACTCTCACGAGATCTCTTAGAGCCACTGCTTTCAGAACCTGTATTTCCTCCTATCTGACTACGGTAACGTGGTTGATCACGAACATTGAGCCATTCCTGCATTAAATTTAAACTTCCTTTATTAGCACTTGAATATAATTCATGTGCTTTCGCCAATACATCTTGCTCCGACCACCAGCTTTGTTGCAAACGCTTAGCACTATCGTAAGCGCCAACCCATTTAGCCAACTTTGGGTTCATATAGTTGTAATGGTTTTTACACGAAATTCCATCACGCGGAGGATCAAATGAGCAATGCTCATTACAATACTCCGCAATTTTACCCCAATAAGATTCACATTTTTGGTTTCTACCAACAATGCTGTCTGTTCCAAATTTAATCCACCCACTAAGTAGCACCAAGTTTTGATCGGTTGTCCATTTTGGGCTTTTCCGGCGAGTGGAAGTTGACTCTGCTGCATTTGGAATGGCTTCACTATTACTGCTCATGCCACCAAGAGACACTTGTGTGGAAAATCCAGGAAATTCCGTTGATCCAACATTTGGAGTATTTTCATTGTCTGTTGGAACAGAAGAATAAAAGGGTAGTTGA